TATTTAGTAAGTGATTCCCCCCCCCAACACTCCCCCCTTCTCTCTTAACCATCAAAGATTGTTTTCTTCTGTGAGTAAATATTTTCTTGGGTTTTTATAACAGTAGTCTCATACTGTATTTTTCCTTCTGTGATTGACTTATTTCACTCAACATAACGCTCTTCAGATTCATCCACGTTGTGAGATGTTTGTTGGATTCATCATTGTTCTTTGCTGTTGCATAGTATTGCATTTTGTGTATGGTAAAAATGGCATGAGGGCTGTTTCTGACCTACTGTAACTTCACAAGGGGGAAGGAGAATAAAGATCAACAGCCCAAGGCTGACTGCTATGAGATGGAGGTCAGACATGCCTCCTCTCTCTGCCACCTTTACCAATTCTGAGACCAACTGTCACTCCCATGGTACTTTCTACTCTGCTGGGTTCAATAATTCATTGCAATGGCAACACAGAACTCACAAACAATAGTCACGATTATAGGGTGTATAAGGGAAGTAACAGTTACAATTCAGGCTCAGGAACACTCTGGATACAGTTCTTTCATCAGGACAGCCTCTTCTCAGCCATGCTCGCAGGCATGTCTCTCCCTGGCCCTAGTCCCGTGCCCAAAGGCACTCAGCTTTCTCTCTCTGCACCATCTCCTGCTGCCAAGTCTCTCCTGCCACTGCTTCTCACTGTCTTCAGGGTTAGAGCTCACTCGCTCTGTCTCCTGCTTTCAGGAACTTCTCAGCACAGCAATCCCTGGTCCAAAGGACATGCTGGCTCCTAGTTGTTCTTCCTTGGTGGTGGTAGGACCTTCTCTTTTCCCGCCTCTAGGGTGGCTCATTTCAAGCCCAGCATGATGGCAAAACTGACCAATACCTTTGGTAGGCCACAATTACCCTATGACACAGTCCCACCCAATCGCTTGGGTGGGAGTTACATAACCATGGCTAGAAAGGCCACACAAAAGTGACCCGTCACACTGCTGTATGTACATTCATTCATCTGTTTATTCATTCACCTGTTGATGGACACTTAGGTTGTTTCCAGCTTTTTACTATTGTGAA